CTATTCTAGACCCAAACTCTCTAATTTATATACCCTATCCTAGAGTAAACTGCTTGAAAACCCTACCCTTCACAGCGGCACATACCTATATAGCCCATATATGGCACTGCCCCCTCCCCCCGCCCCCCGGGGCCAACACTGAGCCAGCCATGATAATTCCAAACCAAATTTAAGTGTCCATGCAAATATCAAAGATCAAAGTTTTTTCACCTCTTGGTGTCTCGCAAAAAGAATCTCCACAACAGTTAGCATGTTTTGTTATTGTTTTCTTTCCTTTTCATGCCTCTAAGTAAATCTCCTTCATATTGTTAATCTTACCTGGTAAACCTTGCTGCAAAGTGTAGTGGAATGGATAAGCATAGCAGCCCATAGGTATCCCATCTAGACACAAAGTAACAATTTAAACTGTGATGCAAGTTATGAATTTCTTAAAAGATCTTTCTTAATGGAGATTTCCATTAACTGAGGCTGCTGTTAACAAAACACATTTAGATAAGAGACTGTATGGAATATTACCAGGGTATTCAATGAGTCGCAGTTCAGCTCTGAACATGTCTCTCTTGGAGTTTCTGGTTCCTATCCTCTCGACTGGCAATTGAGTTTCTTCATCCTGCTGTACTTCTCGAAATTCCCATTCACCTAGAGATTAATTTACATGACATTCAGGTACATTGTATACAGTTGACAAAACATACACAGTATTATCACTTGAATATACATATGTTGTAGGTCAAAATGAAATTCAGGTTTAAATGATTTTAACCTAGTTTGATTCTCAATTTCCCTTGTCTTTAACCCTAATTATTCATGATCCATGAATAATTAGGGTTAAGAGACAAAGGAATTTCATTTTAACCTGAATCTCATTTTGACCTGTAACATATACATTAGGTAATAACATGATTTTGAGCACATTTTGGAGTAAACAAACACAACTAAATCAAAGTTTTCAAGCACTAACAAATTTACACAAGCCTGCAGGGTGAGTGTAATTTGTAACTTATAATTTGCAAGTGCTTATCTACTACAAACTGCACAAAACAATATGTGATTTCTTATTAATAATATGCATATAGAGACAATCTCTGTCATACTTACACTATAATTACTAATATTCTTGACTAATTTCATGTTAAGTGCATTCAACTTTATTGGCTAAACATTTGACATACTTATTTATGTTTAAAGTTTCATTAGTCTATGCACTATCTGCATGAAAAGCCATCTTTCTTCACAGTAACTGTTGAATTTGAAGAATTTGATAACACAAGGTTTTGAAGCTGTGCTGCATTTTTGTGCTGACAGAGTAAAAACTTCTTCAACCTTCGGCAACAGATGCTTGAACCAGAACGCTGGAGTGCTGAGCTAAAAATGGTCCAAATACATAAATTATTCTCAGAGCAGAAGGACATAATACAGTCGAACACCTAGTGGCCACCTATTAAACAGCCACCCCTATTTGGTGGTCAGTAATCAAAGTCCTGATAAGGGCTTTTCTATTTTTTTCACCTCTATTAAACTGCAAGCCCTGTTTAAGCAGCCACTATCCATTTCCCTGAGGATGGCCATTAATTTTTAATAGGGGTTGAACTCCATATTGCTTCTTCACTTCATTTTGATTTGCCTCTCTTCCTGCCATTTAATACTAAGCAATTTTCTTTTGTAAAATAGAATGTTTACACCTTTTGTCTTCAAAAAGAAGAAGTTATATTCCAGTTCTTAGTCTGTCTAGTTGGTCCTTGTTTGCAATTCACTTTGGAGTATGATTCATGCTTGTCATTAATTGATAAATTAAAGCATAGCCAAGGGTTGTAAAATAATGTATTTTTTCAAGAGTATTAAGTAATCACGTGATTTTTCTCATGAAAGTGCAGGGTTGTCAAAAGTAGTCAGCTGCTAGTGAAAATCACCAATTACTTCATGATCTGCTGGGCTATTTGCCTGATAATTTCTTCACAAAAACATTGCAAAATCAGCAACCTACTCTATCAATAAAGCTGCCAAATTCAAAATTCTGCAACAATACTACATCTTGAATAACTAAACCCTTCTACACTAAATTTTCAAAGACTACAAATTGCCCTTGCCCTACAGAACCTATAGTGAGGCTCATGTTATTTTGTTAGCTTTAGGAGGGCACTCAAAACAAACGTGATTATCTAGACATGTATATGTTGTAGGTCAATATGAAATCCAGGTTAAAATGAAATTCCTTTGTCTCCTAACCCTAATTATTCATGGATCATGTATAATCAGGACTAGAAGACAAAAGAAATTGAGAATCAAACTAGCTTAAAATCATTTTAACCTTAATTTCATTTTGACCTACCACACATACTTATTAGGGCTAATAACACAGAGGTGTGGCGTTTTATCACAGAGAGTGATCAAAAACAAGGAAACAATGGGGATTCTTTTACAGAAAATGTCCCTTGGTGTGTAATAATGAACCACACCCCTTATAATTTTTATATTATATTTACCATGGGTTGTGAAAATGTACTATAAAACAAATTAACATTTTGACCAAAAAAATCAACTTGACCTCTTACATTTTTCATATCCTCTAAATTTCAGTTTCACTCCTCTGCATGGATCAGTAGCACATATCCATAAGTACACAGTGCTACAATATTAAAATGATAAACAGTGTGTAAATAATATTTCTGAAGCTAATGTTAAGTGAATAAAGTGCTGAGAGAGATTTTAAGGCTGAAGCATTCTGTTTTTCAATTTCTCTTTCTCTCATGGTTAAATCTCAAGCTTTGATTATTCAGATGAGATGCATCAGCCTTTGTGATGTTCTGAGTAAGTTATGACTGAGTTTGTTATGTAACAGGTGTCATGGGGGCAATTCAAGACACTTAATTTTCAAAATTGGCATTCTTTGCCCAGGGAGCATGTATGGATATATACTGAAGAATTTGTAAGAAAACGTAACAAAGGATGGTGAGGATGGTAGTGAGGGGAGGTAAAAAGCTGTGGAGAAGAGCTACATAGGACTAGGGGAGTGTGGGAGAGAAACTGGGAGGGGAGGTACTGCAAAGAACTGGGCAACAATTTCCACTGAGGGAGATCAAAATAGGCATATAATGTATAAAATGTAAACAATAGCCTCTATTTGACACAAAAATATGCTCGCATAATTGTCGGCGGACATGATCTGTTCTGAGTAGCAAACAGTTTTCTGAGAGCAAAGCTAGAGGAAAACTGTGAGTTTTGAGGGACGGATAATGTCTGTGGACAAAATTATGTCCAACCATGAATTATAAGAGTCAAAATATACAGGCTATCGTTTTTATACTTCAAGTATTTTCCACAACACGAAAATTGGGAAGTATCACTCTGATATTCCCCAGTTTTAGCTGGGGCATATTCACTCACATGACGTATTTATACCAATCATGTGCAAGGAAAATATTATATAGATCATAACTGAGACTCCATACCTGTGTATCTCCTCAAGGGCTATTTGGCAAATCACATTTTACAAGGGGAAGACCAGTCAATCCATGAATGTTTTAATAGATCAAAATATGTCAAATCACGGTTACACGAAGAACCCTTTGCTCAAACTCTTCTTTCTATTTAGTTGTTGATGTACATTGTAGCACAAGCTGAAATGTTGAGCTGAGAGGATGAATTTGCAGTCATTTTCACTTTAAACGTAAGCTTTAAATGCAAAGTAAGAACAGGCTAGTTTGAAGCTCATTTAAAACTAGTTGTTCGACTTTTGCCTGCTCAATAACATACATGCAGGTTCCTGTACCTGTGAACCTTGAGCTCAGCTCACAAACGAGAGTGCGTATTTGCCCACGTACATCATTGTATAAATGCATGCAGAATAAGAGCAAAATATTGATTGTACTCACCCATAGATCTTTTCTCCTCCAAGGTAATCTCCTTTGTTGGTTCTTATTGCTATTCTGTTGATGCTCATTTTCACAAAAATTATGAAATTAAGCTTAACATCTTCAGATACAAATCCTTCATTTGCTTCAGTTTCACGGATCAAAATCAGTCAAAATGTTTGCATTTACGATCAGCTTAATTTAGTTAACTTCACCTATCTGCCTAGTTCAGAGGTTTATCTGTGCCTTCCAAAGACTGTACAGAGTCTCTTCCGCAAAAATTAAACCTTTTCGTTCAACGAAGTATTTAACTGAAGACAAAACGTTTGGAAGTGGAAATTGTTCTGTATGTTTTGTGTGGTTCTCACATGAAGTACTGCACAAAACAAACCGACGCGGAGAACTGGGTCTAGACACAAGGCAATATGGCGGCGTACACGTCGTTGCGGTTGGTCGGGAGAAAAATGGGTTTAATCTCTAGGAAGAGTATATTTGCAGGGTTAAATCAACATAAGTATACGAATCGTGTTTTATCTATACAGAAGTCGACTACTGGAGGCTTTATTCGGTACCAAAGTGACAATACAAGCGGAAAAAGTTTGAACAACGAAACAGATCGAAGTAAGCTTGAGAATGAATTGAAAAATAGTTCTAAGAGTCAAGAATTGGCACAAACGAAGCTATTGAAAGTGGCAATCATAGGAGAGGCAAACAGCGGAAAGTCTACATTAACAAATTGCCTTATTGGAGAGAAGATTTGCGCGGTAACAGCTGTACCACATACCACACGAAGACAGACTGTTGGAGTTTTCACTGTAGGGGATTCTCAAATAGTCCTCCTAGATACCCCTGGGATAGTAAACCTCCCCGAGGCGAGGCGGTTAAAAATGACTCGGGAGCACATGCGGGCTCCAATCGATGCTATGCATGATGCAGATCTCATTGCTGTGTTAGTTGATGCAGCAGACAGGAGAAGAAATCAGGTTATTCATGAAACGATCTTAACTTCCTTGGAGAATCATGTGGATTTGCCATCGATTCTAATCTTAAACAAGATAGACAACGTTAAAACGAAATCAGTTTTGCTGGATATAGTTTGCACTTTGATGCAGGACCGTGAAAAGGATGACTGGGGGTATAAAAACGTAGGGGGGTGGAGTAAGTTTGAGCATGTTTTCATGATCTCAGCGCAAACTGGAGATGGTGTGGAAGAAATCAAACAGTACTTTGCTGCAAAAAGCAAGCCTAGTGAATGGCTGTTTCCTGCTGATACACACACAGACCAGAACTTTGAACAAATAATGCAGGAGATCTTTCGAGAGAAGCTGTTGCAGTTGTATGAACATGAAATACCATGGCAGATTAGGCAGGTAGGTATAAAACACTGTAGCTGTGTCACTGACAAGAATGTTTTTAAAATCCAGGTGGTTGAGTTTAATTAATGGTATATATAGGGAGCTGAATTTGGCAACTATGTCTGAGGGGAACATAAGTGGATGCTGAACACTGCTTATAAGGTGCTCAGTCATGAGTTATTTTGAACACAAAGGAAATTCCTTTAAATTGAAGGAAATCTGAAAATAGTAGTTTATTACGGTAGAAAAACACCAAAGATATAATAATAAACTGTAAAGGAACAAGGACAGTGAAGGATGGAAAGGTAACATGGATTACAAATGACGAACTTGAAAAATGTAGGCTTAACATTTCAAGAAGTGTAACTTGTAACTCCTTTAATGCAAAAAAATTGCAATACTGTGAACTAATTTGATAAATACAGCAAATTATGTGATAGTTAGTCTGCATAGATGTAGGTGGTGGTTTAACCATTTCAAGGGCAAAAACATGAGACACAGAACATGTGACAGGGCTGTAATACAATGAAACACCTTTAATGCAAAAAAAATTGCCTACGAACCACTTATCCGTGACGGAAATGAAACCGACAAACGGACTTCTAACAGACGGACTTAACAATACATGGACCAAAACCCGACCTACTTGACTAACAATAGACAGGTCGAAACCCACCAATGACTGATGACAAACTTTACACGAGTCTTTCAGCCAATACCATCATAGCTATACTGACCAATCGCGTTCAACAGACCAGACTTATAACATCATCGACTGATAAACACTATTCACTTGACTCTGAAGATGACTTCCGCTCAGGTTGTCGAAACGTCAGTCACAAACAACAGTTCTTTTCAGAACTACACTCACCCGGACAATCACTCTATACGAACTACTGATACTCCTGGGCTCAAACCATTTACTATGAAACACCTTTAACTGATTGTAAAGACAATCAAATTGTAGATTTACTACAAACACTTAATTCTTATCATTTTCACTCATGGTTAAACAAACCAATCAGAAAGTTAAACATTGTCAATTAGTAAACACATACCTATCATGACTAAAACAACATGATCATCACATAATTTTGAAATTAATTTACCATTTCCTTAGCTTAGTATTTATGGTATTTACTTTAATCATTTTGATGGCCATTCTCTGACAAATAATTTTATTTAAGTATTGTTTTGTTTGAACCGTACAGGTGAATGTATTGTGTGAAGCCAGGGAAGGCCATTGGAGGATACATCACAAGCTGTATTGTCACAGAAAAAGCCAACGTAGATGTGTACTTGAAAAATTAGACCAGTTGAGAGATCTGGTTTTAGAAGACTTGGAAAAAATTGTGGGGGAGCGTGTAGACTTAACTGTTGATGTTTCTTACAGCGAGAAAGTTGGCTTTGACACTCCTCTTCACAGATACTGATCTAAACTCAAGATGAAATCATCTAAATGTTCCAGTAAATGCAGCCAAAGCTGGCTAGAGAGGTCTTGTTTTACAAAATAGGAACAAAAATTATACAGCTTCATAAACATGTCTAAAGGAAACAACTAGCCACTATATTTTCTCTTGAGTATAGCCAGTGCTCACCCCACCACCCCCTGCTTTGTCATAACTTTGTGTTGTTCCAGAAAATATCCATATGCTTCCCACAGAAGGTTTTTCGGTTAGAATCATCCCAACCCTCCAGAAATTCCAGTTTGGCTTCATAATTTCTTTTAACAATTTTGGCTTTTGAAACCCTCCTCCCTTCAGAATTTCCAATAACCTTCCTTAGGGTGGGTACGGGTATTTTCTGAAAATGCACCATTTGTGTGGGTTTTTTTAATTTGCTCTCACAAGAGAGAGATTAGGGAGCTTAAGAAACCATGACGGCAACACTGAGGACAATGTCAATTAAAAAATGACTTTATATTTTACCTACAAATCTCGTGGTACTCTAGAGTCATTTAACTTGTTTACCACTGTCAAAGCCATCATGAAACTGAATCTAGGACACACTGATTAAGTCAAAATAAAAATTTAAAAATCAGCCGTAGTGGTTCACGTTCTCCAGACAACACAGAACTTGGTCATTTTACGTTGTTGTTTTGCAGAGGACAGAAAAAAAATGTACCAAGAATTATAACACACGTGCACAGCCATTTTTCTGCTCATTAAACCTTTTCTTTAGTGCCATTGCTGTTGCCGTTGGGGTTTTCTTAAGCTCCCTATTTAGAAGGGGGTGGGTGGATTGGGTGGCTAGCCACCCTGTCTTTGGAGAAGCAATAAATAAATAAAATTGAAAAAGATTATGAATATTATGGTAGAGAGAGGTACTGTGACGGTGAAGCATCTTACCTGAAGAAGACAAAAAACTGGATGACCGGCTTGAACTTGAAACTGATTAGAACCACTTGATAATTTCAAAGTCCAATGCACTTTGAGTTTAAAAATTGCATATTAACATAATAGGCAATTTATAGTTTGTTTCAGGACCTTCTAGGACTTTCTAAAAAAAGGAAAACGAAGAAAAAATGGACCTTCTATCTAGAAAAATCTATGAAACTTTGAATATTTTTACCCCATGAGCTCCCACCCTTGATAGAGTGAGGGCATTATAAGGCTCTCACTTTTGTACACCTCTGTGTATATCATGCCAATTGTCCACTACTGGTATGGTTTTGTAATCGTGTACCAGCACTCAAGAACCAATACAAAAGACCCAACAGTATACGACAGCTAAACAAATGCTTGTAACGAAAGACAGTACAGTGGTTATTCCCTCAGTGTACCGATACACCAGGACACAACCACTGGTATCAACAGTATCAACAGGTTGTGCTAACAACCTAAAAACATTTTCAGTTAATTCCAAATGACTCAAATGATCTCTTTTGTATGTAGAAGCAAGGTTTTTCAAAAACTATCTCGAGACCAAGATTTTTTACTTCCTTCAAGTCTCGTGTGCCTGCTGAGTTGGGGGGGTTTGCTCTAAAGCCTCGAAAGCCTGGGTACTAGGGAAATCAGGGAGGCCTGGGACCTAATGCATTTACGCCCGGAAGATGTTTTGCTCGTGATCGAACACGCTGAATGAAAGGGGAGAGAATTTTGCTGATGAAGCTTAAATTAACCCTGATTTTACTTCACAGTTTTCCAGGAACGTACAAACTACACAACCGTTAACAATAGAATATCAGCTTCATGTTTCAAGCGATTGTAGAGTCCATCTTTGAGCCCGGCGTTAACAGTCAACTCCTGAGAGCAATCAATGTTATATTCCTATGTCTTGTTGTCGTCGTAATATTTCTGTTGACCGCTTATGGCTTCAATATTCATTTGCTAGTACTTTTGATACTTACTACCGGCCTCCTACTATCAATAAACTGGTGAGTATCTTGACTATAGTAAAGACCGGTACTCTTCCTGTTCCTCTGGGTGAACTATGGAAATAGCAATATGTTACCACTGCTGAGAATGCCTGAAAAGTACCGTATTAACAAGTTGTATATAGATGAGGACCTCCAAGGAGGGGTAGCATGTTTACTTGAAAATTTCACTTTTTCTCCCCTGTTCCTTTATAATACTTTCCAAATTGTTCCCTAAATCTTTTTCTTGAAGTTGCTTTTAATAGTAGAGATATCCCTTGTTCCCTCAGATTAATCTAAAAAAAAACTATCCCTTGTCCCTTAAAAATAGATGATTATGTTTCCTTGTTCCTCAAACCCCTGGGAGACCCTCAAAGGTTAGTTTTTGCTCCTATCTGTATGTTGGGTTTCCCATCTTGCCAGAGCAATACCAGTAGGTTGGGATAGGGGAGGCTTGCAACATTACCTCCATTATAGCTGAAGATCTGAAGTTGACAGAGGTTGACAGTTTTTGTTTTCTTGTAGGTTTGTCAGTGAATTATGGAGATCTGCAAGAGATGCAGAAGTGGAGAAAAAAGATGAATAAGCCAGGCTTCTAACAAATCCTGGAAGGGTATTTATAAATTTGGTCCATCAATGGTACTTTTATGATGAGAACAAAGAGATGCATACATCATGACAGTGTCATCGTAGCTCCTCTTCACTGAAGTACAAGAGAAAGAGCTAGTAACATTTGATTGATGATTAAACAGAGGAAGACAAATTGCGGAAGACATTAGGCTGACAGACCTGGAAACTTCTCAAGTTCTCAAGCAGTGAACAAATATCCAACACAGCGATGCTAATTTGGGACATTGGCAGCTATAGCTGGTTTAAGGTGAAGAAGCTCAAGAATACAGCTAGCATGAAATCACAAGACTCAATCCCTGGTTAGTAAGTGAAGTTGTGTCCAGTGTTCAATCACTTCCTCCCTGTAATCTCTGAGGGATTTCTCCTATAAATGACCATTGCAACTCACACGTACATCAAATATATCACACATGTATCAGTCCAGAAATAGATATTATTTTATTGTTGTAACTAGCCATTTTTGTATTGTCAACCTAGCAAAGCAAAACCCCATCACACAAGGGCTTTTAAATGTAGTATGTAGTATCTATACATTTATTTCTAAAGCAAATGAACTTAAATTAATTACATGTGAGAACGTCTGTCAGTGAAAAGTGGAGGGATAAATAACAAATGTGTATGGTTACTCCTTTACCAAGTTCTACTTACAGATAAGAACAATAGCGAGCAAAAGGGAAAATTTACAACTTGCGTGACTTGCAAAATCAACTTCATAATAGGTTACAATTTGTTTAATAGTGAGTTTAAATCATTTACGTGTATTTACCTCTGAAGAACTTAGAAAGAAATATATTGATAACATAATAAAATGGACTTCCTGGATATGGTTGTATTTAATTATGTAAATCCAGCCGATGTCGCATTTCTTCAAATAATGAAGTTGGTGACGGTCGTCAGTGAAATAAGCATCCTTTTCTACTCTGTAACTTGTCTTCTTTAACTTTTTGCATCAGCTTCAGCTTTTACAAGGTTTTGGGTGTGCATGACTCTGTAGATATGACTATATATGATGTACTTTAAACATTTGTGTATAGATAAATATAATATTAATATAATCTCTAGTTCATATCTCAGTGTTAAATGGTATGAACTAAATGCAGCAATAAATAATTCTGGCCTGGCTTGTTGGTCACTCTAATGTCACTTTAACACCAGTAACAGCCTAGTTTCTGTAACTGAAGTAACTTCCCTAGGGGTGACAGGGGTCATTCCCTCTTTCCCCTTACTTCTCCCTCTACCTAAGACTGCCATTTTGAACATTTTTTCGACCCATTACCCCAGAGAATTATGGACAAAAGTGACGTGAAAGTGCCATTTTGCACAGGGCACCCCTCCCCCAGTACAAAGTAGGCATTCCACCTCCCTGAGGAAAACTTTTCTTTGTATAAAAGGGCATTCCTAGGTTACTGTCACTACAGACTCGATGTCCTGTGTTTGTTGTCTTGTTATCCGACTCTCCTCAAACATTTCCATATCTTGTCTTTTCAATGTGCTCCCAGTGGTGGTGCTTAAGTTCATGGGTGATATCCTGTGGCGCTTGCAGCAAATCAGATCGGCCAGGTGCTTCCGAAACTGCGAACTCTGAAGACTGTAGACAACCGGGTTCACGCTGGAGTTGAACACAATCAGAGCAGAAGCGATAGCATGGTGAATTCCAACAAGAGTTATGGTGCCAGTAAAACCCAGGAAGTAGATTAAAAGCTCAGGAACCCAACATAAGATGTAAATGACGGTCACGAAAACCACCATCTTTGTCACGCGTTTCCGGTGGCGTTTCAAAGCTTTCTGGGTCTCCTCTCTGACGCTATCCTTTTTGAGCCACAGATGGTACACCATTCTGGAGTAGAGCGCTCCCAAGATTCCTATCGGGATGACACCGGCTACCACAGACCACCCAACCGTGTAAGAGTGAGCATAGATTGGCTTGGACCAGCTATGGGCGCAACCTTTAATCGCTGGGATATACGTCATTGCAATGAAGCCTGGAACTGCCCAAAGTGCTGACAGCGACCAACATAACACAACAAGGATGATGAGTTTGGTTTTAGTGAGTTTCCCCTTTCGGCTGTGAGGGTACAACACAGCGCCATACCGCTCGATTGCGACGGCCACAAGCGTGAACACAGAGGCAAGCGCGCCGACCCAGCCTACGTTCCCGCCTGTGAACAACTTACAGAGGACGTCTCCCATTTTCCCCTCGGGGTGGTTGAGAGCAGGGGTAACGACGAACGGAATACCAATGAACACAGCGACAACTATGTCAGCGGTTGCTAAGTTTATCAGGAGATAGTTAATGGGAGATCTCATCGGCTTGTTAAGAGCCACTGCTAGTATCACCAACGTATTTCCCACCAGATTGATAAATATCAGTATCGAAAAGAAGATGGCGAAGGCAGTGTACATTTTGTTTCTTGATGTTTACCTACAAGGCAATAAGAAATATTAATTCTAATTGTAAGGTTTCTGTGATCTTTGAAACAAAAAGTAAATTTGTTTTGTATAACTTTGAAAGTATGAAAAAATATTGTTGCGAACCTCAATTAATTACCAGCACTATATGCTTGAAGAGTGCACAATTTTCTAACCTGTGTCAGTTATTCTTTATCATGAGTGGTTTACCATAGAGCTACAATTAATTGTCCGTCAACACACGAATGGCAATCATTTTGAGCGAGACGTGAGACGTGATGAAAATCATTCACTGGAGCGTACTGTACAATATCACACTTTTGAAAGTTAACCGAAATGCGTAGACAGACGACTGCCCAGCTAACTCAAGGCTAAAAAATATCTTGATACTAACAGACTCAGAGTAACGATGCTTTTTAACGAACGCTTAGTTATCAACATCTGCTACACTTGCGCTCACAATAAAACAAGTGCATTTTGTTTTCCCTTGAAGTTATCAGCTCTGTATCATTTTAGTTTGGAACAATATTGAGACATTGGGCAAACAAGAAACAAGTGATGCCCATAACGAAACTGCCGTTGACTAGATTGTCCCTTAAGTAATTTCTCAGTTTTGAATGGGAATTGTATTCAGCCTTGGCCGGTTGTAATGGTCATTGTACTGACTGCTTCAACTCGTTAAAAGTCGATTATTCATTCTGTCTTCTTTCGCGTGATTGATAACACGGCATACAATTGCATTTGAACTTTCTTAAGCTAACAAAAAAGTGGAGACGTGACATCGACTACATGGAAAAAAAGTAACTTCATTCCTTGAAAAATAAGAATATGATAGACACTCAGTTGTTGTTTTTATAACTTGCGAGTTGGTAAATGTTGTACAGATGGAAAGTATAGTTTTTAGAATCAAGAGCAAACACGTATGAGAGGAAAAAAAGAGAGAAAAATATTTTAAAGGCATTTTCCGCCCTTCCGACTCACCACTGATCCTCTTAGCTCCACTGAAGGAGTAGTTATACGAAAAGAACTTAACTTCTACTGGATAACCCACGCATTAGTGCAGTCACTGCATGAACTCAGACCCGGAAAACAGAGAGCGGAAAACTCTACTGTTTTTATTATTAATGTCATATCCATGGAAATCCGATTGAATTCTGAATGTAAAATGTATTTCCTCCGACACGTATGCTCATCTTGTTAAAACTCCATACCCCTTTCTTCGCATTTTAAACTCGCGCTGTATAGATCACGTTTTTAGAAGTTGGACAAGACACGTTGCCAGTGAATCTCTACAATATTAAGAAGTATTAAAAGTCACTTCAGTTGCCGACACGGTGTGTACCGGTTATTTAAAATTTGTGTCTTGCAAGTGATACACAACAACTGTACATGAAAAACCCTAGGGTGCAAATGACTTGAAACTATGAAATAATGAACACTGTCCATTCTTTATCTCGCGCGAAGTTGCGCGCTCAGAATCGTGTACTCATAATCTTGAGCGAAAAGTTAGGCTTTGCGTGATTACTTATTTTATGTTAGTTTATTTAAGGTTACCTTTCACAGCAACAGTGATTTGTTCAAAACTTCTCCAACATAAAATTATCGAGTTTCTTCTTTTACCGTATTTCTTCTAGGTCGCTCCATATAACTGACACAAACAGTAGGAGCTCTTTAGGAACTGATTACTGATCGCACGGAAGATACCAAAGAAATATGAGATTGAACTAAGTGAGGGAAATTATGGCTATTTCCTTCGTTATTAAAAAAAGAGAAGAATCCCGCAGATCGGAATTAAGCCTGTGGATAATGATTTATGTCTTTGCTCCTGCTAACAGGTTATACTATTTCACTCAGTAATTCTGAAAAAGACCCGGTAGTGAAACAAATAAACAACTTCCTAATACAAACAGGACTCTAAAAACACCGTGACACTTCGAGGACCGCAAAGCACAATTTTAGAAACTCTGACAGCAACCTGTCAGTTTCTCCATAAATTTATTTCTTTAGAAGTTTCAATTATCATCGACTTTTAATCAGCGTCGTCGTTTTCAATTTTTATTTTACGGGATGTGTTCCAAAAATTAATCTTCACTTTAATTTTCGCCGTCGGGTTTAATTTTTGAAACACGCTGCTTGACTTGTGAGCTTTGATTAAAACTAGAAAGTGTTTTTTCCTTCCTGTTGAGTACATTTTCCGGTTTTCAAGGGCAGTACAAGATATTGCCGACATGGTTCCTTGTAAAAACACACGGTTCGACATAATTAAGACAAAAATTAAACAATTTTCGGTCCAAAAAAAAACAATAAAATGCCGGTTTCAAAGGTCCCGAAGCCCTGTTTTTCGTTGCTTGCAGACTTTAAGGAAACAAACAACAACTTGGGCGCCAATGCAATTATATCTTAAGGGCACATTAACAAAGAAGGCAAAATGCGGATTGCAAGGAAAGCGAATTCGAGAGGGATTAATAAAATAGGCGCAAGAATTGCGACAGCGTATATTCTCCGCTTTTAATTATTTTAAGGCAGTCGTAGTCATAGAAAAACTGTACTACCACGCGAAAAGTTATTAATAGCACTATGTACATGAGCTCACAAGGAGCTCGACGTTATAGGTTACAAGCGTTCTATTTGCAATAGTGTTGAAGGTGGATAGAATAGTTTTCGAAAGTCTTTTCAACCGTCCATATAAACAGTAGCATACTTATTTATTTATTTATTTTTCTTCCTGTTCGAGCTGTAGCTGGCCACATTTAAAAAAAAATCGCCGTCTTTTTCAATTTGTAGCAAAGTAGCTGAGTGTTCTTAGCGTGTCTCAAATTCGATACGTGAGCAGTGTCACAAAAACTCAGGTAAATCACTCTTTGTGTCAATAACATAAAAAGTTTCAGTTTCGTTGAATTTGCAGCTTCATAGCTCACTGTGGAACAATATTTGCTGCAGTTAAATTAACGCATCCTTTTGATAAATTTCATTGACGTCAGCACAATTATATTTGAAAAACAACCCTGTCTTTTCCGTTTACAGCAGATTACAATCAAAAAAAGTAGATTAGGGCTAGGTCTGGTCTCTCTCCGATTTTTTTTCGGGGAGAGGCGGCTGTGACACAGGCTAGGTCTTCTTCTTTGATGTGGAACCGATGTATTTCTCTTGACCAAACTACTTAAAATGATCCATACATTAGCACTACAACGAATGCTGGCATCATTTTGTTAATAGACAGTACAGTTCGGATTCGGTGCATGTTCTCATTTTTAGTAGAAATCATTTTTGCTGAGATTGTTAAAAACGTGGATGTTTGCAATCAGGGCCGTGGCCACAACCCAAGCTCTTGCCTCGGTATAGCTCAGATAGTTGTTATTTTTTTCTTTTTTTAGCAGTTTCTTTGATCTTAGGAATGTATATATTTATTACTATAATAGATACACGTACATTTCTGTAAACGAGCCTTTGCTTTAGGCTCACTAATGTTTCGTGTTTAAATAAAGATTGTATTTATTTTAATGTGTTTTCTTGTATCCTATTGTGTTTTGTTGTGTTGTATTGTATTGCATTGTATTGTATAATTTAGAGGTTTTTTCAACATTTAGAAAAAAAAAGCCGAACCTATGTATAATACTAGCATCAATAAACTTTGAATTAGTTATTTAGGGATCCTTGAAAAAAATGTCGAAAAAATTTGGCTCGTCAATGTTTCTTAATGACTTTGTGTTTTGTAACAGAAGTTCATGGCTTTGACCTCTCTAATTAATTTGTGAACCAAAATTAAACCTATCGTTCCACGAAGAAACTATGGTCCAAGAAAGCAATTGAAACTGATTTTCATTCTGTCAGCGGCAGAATATTTAGATTCTGAGTGTGAAATCTAAAATTACTCAATAGACACACAGTACGCTCTTTTGTAAAGTCTTCCATTGTACGTAAGGCGTTGTCTATTTACCCCTACCCCCCCCCCCCCAAGAGCGCGTTAAACTGCGAGATGATTGACGCATTGTAATCATTTTGTATCGAACAAACACCGATGGAATAAATGATTGTTAAAAAAAAAAAACAACTATATTTTACTCCATGTTTGGTCAATTCTGTCGCGAAAACGATTTTCTCTGGTGGCCTTTGTTCGGCGTGGTTTGATGGCTGAAATCCCATGGTCGTTAAGCCAATCGGAACTCTGGAAATGCATTATTCAATATTCAAGTTTTAAAGAATTACTGAAAGAACATGATCAGGCACACGTTTCTCTTGAAAGGGAATTTCTCTTTGATTTTAACTCAAAAATATCTAAAATCTTAGGTTTCTTGACTTCATTTCTTTAGAGATTCTGCTAAGACAGTTACAGAACTCGCCCTTCTACTCTATGATTAATATACTTATTTCATTATCAACTTCCAGTTTATAATCAACAAAGTGTTTTACTTTCCAGTCGAACGCAGCAATAGTATCTTTGCAAACTTGTCCTATGAGCGATAATTAAGTCAGCTGCACCTTGTTGACTATACACTCATTAAAAAGAAGAGCTCTTAGTCGAATTGTTTTATTTAAGTGTATGTTTCAGAAAGCGCACGAAAACAACTGAAACGGCAATATTTTCCTCCCATCCACCAACAGGACTTAGAATTTCTTTGAAGCGAGCAGCGCTAACATTCAAAGAATTTTCTCAATTTTCCTTGAAATCTTTTGGTGGAATATTCAGGGGTTTTTTGATTTATGTTAACTGGTCGCGTCGTCGTATATTTTGTTAACCCCGATATGGCGGACTGTCGTCTGACTGTCTCAATACTCTTTCTCAAAAGCTTTTCTTTTCACTGAAATAAAAAAGATCGAGCTTTTATCAAGCTCATTCTTAACTTCGCAACATATTGCGCTCTATTTCTTGAAATTCAAAACAAGTTTTAAACAAATTAACAAAAAAAAAATTAACCGCGACGAAATCGCTTAATAGAAGGTAGCGTCTTTTTAGCAGGTGCTGACACTAAAGAGTTTTAGGCTAGTTTTCCATTCGTGCGATTTTCACTGTTTTCTTCCCAAAATCTTAATTAAAATTGAAGCTCTCTGTTTCAATATTTTTTTATTCTGAGGTACCTGAATCCAATTTAACATCTAAAACGTCGGACAGTGATTAAACTATAAAACGGTGTTAATACTTCCAGTGATGAAAGAAAATCTCTCTGGCGTCTTCCGCGAAAAAAAAATCCTGTCTAATTCTGTTCTAATTGCGAAACGCGATAAAAAGTCTTAAGAAAGCGTGCCGTAATCGCTGACTCACAAAACTTCCTTTTATAGTCTGAAGAAGGACATGAACTGGCACAGTTTCCATTTAGCAATAACCATGATTGTACCTTGAACAGTTTCACCAACTCGCCATATTGTTTTCGATTGAATAAAAATGTTATTTATGGATGACGCTTTTTGAGCTCTGATTTTCTAAAATTCACCAACCAAACAATGCAAAGTTAGCACGCATGCGTTAGACGCACCTTGATCGTGTAACAGCACAATGAAGCGCAGCCTATCATAGCTGGCACATTTTCGTCGAACAAATTTACTCTGACGTTGAGAAATTGAAAATGTCGATCGTTAATTTGCTCCTGTTTGTGTTTTCGTGCAGCACAGAATTTCAAGAGATTTCCACCTGCGTTTGTCGTCGATCATTTGTAATTTATCCCTTTTGTTTAACACTCTTCTAACTAGCGCCTTTTCAATTCCTCCACTCAATCTTTAATAACCTCAGACACAACTAATACTGAACTCTCAACACGCTATTTCGATTTAATGTTAAAGAGCGCGCTACCCAGTTTCTGCTCAATACAACTGTTTTTTTGTCTATAGCCTCATTTAGGACCATTTAGCACAGATTATGTTTCATGTTTCACGGTAACAAATTTCCCTCTATGATATTTGTTAGCAAGAGTTTTACCGTCTGGATTAGCAGCAAAGAAAATGACCCCGGAAATTACTGAAAAAGCACGGTAAAAGCACATTTTCTTTGCGGCCGTCTTTCTGATCCGACAGACGAAACAATTTAGAGGCTGCGACCTCGAGGAACGTCAACACGACTTTGATGCAGTTTTAGGAGAAGAGAAGACATTTTTGACTACAAATACGGCACGAACAAATGAATTTTACTGACACTGACATCCGCAGCTCAATTCACCAAAAAGCGACCCATCTAAGTACAGTTTCAAGCACCAAAAAATGACAAGAGAAGTCAGGCGGCTAATAAAGGCAACAATGAAACTACGTTAGTTTTGTTTTTGTCAGTCTGTTCCATTAATAAACTAAGTCTTTAAAAACACTTCCTTCAAACTTACTTACTCGCGATTTGACTGAATCCATTATCTAGAAGTTTGAAATTTCAGAAAGCAGTTTCCTGCCTTTTGTCATTAAATTATTGCCTTAAAACAAAGTGAAAAAATATAATTAAAGCGTAAACTTGCTGTACATAAATTTTACTCTATTTCATCCTTAGTATTTCTCTTACATATATCCAAAGAAGATGAGCTGACGCAATTCTTAATTCTGTTCGGCTGTGTTGTTGCCTAGAAACTCGTAGTGCGCGAAACATACTTAAATTTACTGAAAGCTTTGTCTTTTACGAAATATAGGCATAATGGTTATTACATATAAATAAGCCTTGTCTCAGTCAACGGTATGTGATGGTGGCAAGCCACTTGATGGTAGAAATAAAGCCTGGAAAATTAAAGAAAATTACGTAATGGCTCAGATGGGATATTATGGAGTACAGTCGCTTGTCCAATGAAAGTGCGTGAGCCAAGAGCCCAACAAAACCAAATTGCAAGGAAAAACTCTCTCAAAAACGTTGAAAAAAAAAATATGTTGGTAAGTAGGCTCAATTACCAGCCGCTGTTCTGGAAAAGAGCCCGCGCTCCTTCCTCTTCTCGGGGAGGAACGTAGACCGGACTCGAGAAAGCGGCGGAAATCGAGCTTATTCCTAAGCTGAGAACGAAGAAACACCTTATGGAAGAATTAATATAGTTAAAACTTTGGACTTTGTCAAGAGTGTATTAATCAGCTTCCAGGACCCGATCATAAAAGGCCCGGTGTAAACTGACTCCTATGTCGGATAGTTGAACGGATACAAGATTTCCAAGCGCTGCAAGATTTAAATGGCATCATCATTGGCCCAAAGGAACAACGATAGAAAAGAAAGCAGGACTGTTGAAACTGGAAACTCTAGTTTTCACAGTGGTTATAAAACACTGGACCGTCTACTAAAACGAGCGTTGTAGCAGATATGAAAATTTGTGATGCTATTATTACTAAGCGTGATAAATATTGACATATCTAAAACTTGACGGCTGAACATGAGCCATTTGAAATGCTCTGAATCTACCTGCAAAGTAACCTAAGAAATGAAACTTTGTGTACTATAGCTCCCTGAAGGACAAACTAAATTCAAAGCAAACATAATGTCGGACAAAGCTTTGTAAATGGAGGCCCCTTAGAAGTGTTGGGCAACAAGGACTTAACATGATCATTTGTTTCCACAGAACAAATTTTTGGATTCATCTGGGAGAACAAGGGATATCTCTACTATTACCGGGATGTTCAGCGAAAAATGAAACTGCCAAATTTTAATGGATTAAGGAAACTTGCATTTCCCCTCGGAGGTCTTCCTAAATGCTATCACTGACTGAAAACACGAAGCAGAAATCTTCAACCTGTCCACTGGACTGGTAAAGCTGTGTCGGGATGAGTAACGATTTCTAAATCACGAGTCAGCTTCCACTACTGAAACGTCTTAAAAAACACAGGCAAAGCTTAGTGTAGCTGCTATCAGATAGACAGATAGCTCCGTTTTGCCTGAAGAACGTGAAGCATAGATTTATTTAAGATGTTGCAACCTTTAAGCAAATATTTCAGTTTATATTTTACTGAAAAAACATGACACCATTTGATTAGCGCACCGTTCTTTAAGCGTGCAGCATCTCCTTACCGTGTGAAACTGAAATGAGCCGTCTGTAATCTTACAACTGTTCTTTGATTTTGAAACTTATTTATCCAAGAGCAAAGTTTTTGTCTGTACCTAGTCAAGTGAATAAGTCATTATCCGGTATGTACAAGTCGTGTATTTTTGCCAGCCTTTCGGTTTCGGCCAGTATAATGCAAATAACGAGTCACGAGAGAAAAATGGTTCACTTTAAATTGTGTTAACTGTAATAAAGACTTCACCTTTTTTGTTTTACCTTTGGCATAGTGGCAGAACAAAGGCTAACGACAAATTCCTTAACTTGCCTCGTACTTTATTTGTCAGCTGGGCTACGTGAAATTCGATAGTAATTACTCAAGCATATTTTAAGTTGTTTATAAAATGCTGTGTTCCGCTGCGAAAATGCTGTCGTCATTTACAGCTAACTGAGTAAATTTTTATCGATCTAGAGAAAAAGAGGGCATCTGTAATTTCCCAAGGATTAGTCTTTTATTTTTCAGCGTCAAGAGATGTTATCTCTGAAGTCAGTTTAATCATGTTTTAGTCCTCATTTACATATCGTTGTCTCAGTTCCATCTGCTAATGGAAAAACTTTCACTCAACCAAAACTACTAAAATATTTGATTGTCATGTCACTAACCTTATGGGATGGCTATCGAGTTTCCTATCGAAGAACGTCGATACAAGTCAATTCCTACGTTACCTCGCATACAAGCTGCTCTGGTACTCCAGAATTCTGGTAATTTCGTCTCGCAGAAAAAAAGTCACGCAGTGAAGCTAGTAGGCAGAAAGAAAATTATTTGTATTCCTAGTGATACATTAGCTTTAAGGGCACGACTCAGTTCATTCCACTCGACCACAAGAGACAATATCAAGGACGGCCTTTACTGAGGTCACGCACCAAGACTGTCCCTCGATACTGGTCCACCAAGAGAAGCCACTACCTGTCACGTGGTCATTTCTGTCCAATATAAGGTCGTAACCGTAATTATTACAGTTAAGGGCGCGTAATCTTAGTGTTACAGCGAATATTTCTTGAGTTAAAGCAGTGACGGTTTTCCGAATACTTTTGAAACCCACGAGAACGGCTTTTAAGCAACGAAATACGCCAAACATAACTGTTTTGACTGTGCGACTTCAGGGAAATATGTTTAGACAAAATTGAGAAGTTTGTATCTTGATTTTAAGTAATTTCTATTTTCGTGATGGATTGAATAACTTACCTTTGCGGTTTCTTTTAGTTTGGAGTGCACAATGCCGTAAATATATATTGCAGCTCAATAAAAGTGTTATTTCTGCGAGGAAAACACTGAATTAAAACAGATCCAACAACTCGGAGGCTGCTTAAGATTTAGTTCTTAGCCACCGTAGAAATGATTTCTGAATAGTTTAAAAGAACTTTGAAGGCGGCTTGTTTGTATCTTTTCGCTGATAAAGGCCACCTCTGTTTCACCTGTGAACAAACAGAAGGCTAGATAAAGTATCTCTTAAATATCTGAGCCAACTGATTACGTAATGTTTCCTGGTGATTCAATTGTTTAATTAGCTTATTTTTCTATTTCGAGTAAAACTAAGAATGAAGTAATTGCCAAATTTACATAGAACCATGAAAAGCAAGTACGGTTCTATAGCTCGGAAAAGATAAACAAATTGAAAAGGCAATATGCTTTATAGCTAGGTTTCTTAAAGGAGAGAAATTGCACAATGAAGATCACTAAACAAAGATCTTGCGGAAAGTAATTAAATATTAAGCTGATAAAAGTTAAAGACACGAAATGTAATAAACGGTATGGTTTCTGTATCGTAATTTTACATGTAAACTCGAGTTTTGACCACACCATCTTCAATACAGCTATATACCTCACAACTTCTGTAGCTCCGAAAAAAAAACGTGAATTTCTTTACATCTAAATTAAACAAATTTGCAACACAGGCGTTCGAGCAATTTCCATTGGGACCAAAGCATGGCCGGCTTCTTTAAGCACTTAGAACGAGAATTTAGTTTTCATATCGGGGTTGGCTGTATCACAAAATGTGCTCTTATTAAATCACTTTCGTAATTAAGAAAATTATAAGACAAAGTATATTTTTCTTGAAAAAAAATTTTAAAAAATTCATATACCGTTTGGAACATCACAACTGCACCGTGATGAAGTTAGCTCGGAAAAGACAAGCAAAATTAAAAGCCAATATGTTTCGTTGTTAAGTTTTACCAAAATATGGAGCCGGAAATTTTGTAGGATGATACTTAGAAACACTTGCAACATCTGAGAGTGGCATTCTCAAACAATGGGACACTTACATTGCCGAGAATATTTAGAATATTTAGTGATGTAAAATTCTGAGTCAATAGAAAATAACAGAGCCCGCCTTTCAGCATGATTTTTTTTGTGTGAGAGTTTTAGAGTACAGTGGCGCCGATGTGATTATTGACATCTGCAGATAAATGCTTATCGTGAGGGCAAACTGTAACTTTGTAAAACGATAGCTGAATCACAATATGGGGCTCGGAAAACTCGTCTTGGACGCACATGTTCTTTTCTGAAATCGTAACTCAAAATTAAAGGCCCGGGGTATCATCATGTCTAACATTTGAATTAATGACTTCGAAAACTCAAAATCTTTAAGACGGGCATATATTCATTCATGGAAACCACTCAAGGAGCTCAGTCACGGAATTTTCAGACATTTTGGCCACGTAAAAAATTGCCTTTAAGTTGAAGGAAACCTGAAAATATATAATAGTTTATTTTTATTCTTTTCTTTTAATCCTTAAAGAAATCACACAAAAATAGAAAAATGTCTCCTACTATTCACCACAAATACAAATATTTTCACTCTACTGTATAGACAGCTGAAGACAGACGGCAAAAGTTTCATTTTTGCCGTTTGCCGTTTGACGTAACGCCATGCTTAATCTCTCTAATAACAAACAATTAAGGAACAAGGATGGTGAAGGATGGAGAAGATTAACACGGATTACAAACTAAGAACTTGAAAAATTTAGGCTAAACTTTTCAAGATGCGCAAACCTCCTTTAATGTAATAATCTTAAGTTTTTGCCTTAAGGTTACAGTATACCTTCGGGTCGGCAATTTTCTTCAAATTTGGATTTTTAGGTCAAAATAGTGGTCGAAGAATAATCTCTAATTTCTGAATAAATTTTTTGAAAAAGGCTAAATATTGGCGGAGAAATGGCGGTTTTACGTTTTCATCAGAAGTAAAAGTTTACCTCTTGATTGACAGCCCTATGGCGCGTATGCAATCAACCGAGACGATTTTCGCGGGAATTACCTATATGGATGTCACGAATT